TGGGGAAGGAGATGGAAGGGAGTGTGTTGAGGTGGAGGATTGGGGCAAAGATTTGGTTGAGTTATTGGCCTAATGATATGAGCAGCAGCTACTGCGAGACGCGGTGTGTGGAGTGGTGTGGTGAGGTGGATCTGCCATTGATGCCTAGTACAAATTAGCTAGAGGTTATTGTGTGTGATGATTGATTATGTGTGAGTGTTTGGTTAATTTGAGGATTTTGTACATCAAAAAAATATTATGTTGTTTTGAATGTATATATTAAGTGAATAATTTTATGTTCACATTAATAAAGTCATTTTATTTACTTGGACATCTTTAAGGTGATGTATCAGATCATATCCAAATTGTATGAGACTAAGATATTGTTTTTTTTTTTGGTATTTAGGACATTTTAAGGGCAAAATTACAAAAATGATACACTAAGTTGGTCGTTGTCACCAAAAGAGAAATTATGTTGGCACGCACGAAAAAGAGACACGAAGTTGGCATTTTGGTCGGAAACGACACACTAATCACCCCCTTGATAAAAATCCGACGTGGCGTGATTAATTTATTACGTGGCTCTTCCTTTTTCGGGCTCTTCATACGTAGCGTGATTAATTATCCGATGTGGACAGATGTGCAATTTGGAGGGAAAATCGCAGCACACCCATTATTAATTTGGAAAAATCAGAAAATCAGCCATAATTCCTCTTTTTCGATCGTGCAATTCGAAGAACCCTAAAAATCGTCACCTCAATTGCAATAACCCTAGATTGTCTTCACTTCAATTTCGACCTCAATGACAGAAAAGCTATCCTAGATTTTCTTCGACCACGCTCACACCTCATAATGAACAAAAAAACTGTTCGAAATTCGAACCCCATGAAGAAAAAAAAACTATTCGAAATTCGAATCCCATTTTGAAGTTAACAAAAGGCCTTCGTGTCCCGACTGCGAGATTCAGATACGCCCTAGTGACAAAGAATTTTGCGCAGCTCCTAGATACAATATGTTAATTAATGATTTTATATTTTTTCTTCCAATGTCTTTACCATTTGTTCTGTCTACATTATTGTCCTAGATGATATTTCATTAGATTTTTTTTTTATTGTTACTGCAGGTACAACTAGTAAATACTTCACATTTACCCTAGAATTTGGGGGTACTTTTGATTATATAGGGAAGAAACATTGTGCATATCTAGGTGGGAGCAGAATTCTGTTTGACATGTGGATTATGAATTGGTCACACTTGCTGACTTTAAGTCTGTGGCAGAGTTTAAAGGGTGCAAAAATCCTATGAGACTGCACACATATGTTGGTGCTGGGAGTTTCATGTTACTTTCAACAGAGACTAATCTTCAGAGTTGGTGGAAAAGAAGTATCAACAACATTAGGGAGGTTAGTTTTTTTATTGAAGAACTAAGTGAAAATGCAGAAATTGTTAATGAAAATGCAGAAGTAGTGAATGAAAATACAGAAGTAGTTAATGAAAATGCGGAAGTTGTTACTCAATGTTGTAAGTATTTTTACCGGAGTAGAATCGAAAGATTCAACACCGGGTCGTATC